TGAGATATGGGACGACCGTTTAATTGATAATTGGACATTGGTGCCCAATATCGGTAGGAAAACCCCTATGAACTCAGAGATACTGGTAAGTAGGTAAAAAAGTAACGTTTACTATTACTACTCATTTACATGTGTAATAAAGTGTTATCCTGATTATTGTCTCCATATGTCGGTTTTGCAAACTCAAAAAAGTGAGTATGAAAATAATATTTTTTTTTATATATTAAATAATTTTACTTAAAAAGGATAATGACTCAATTGGTTGTTTTACAATTTTTAGTAACATTTAGTTTTCTGTATCGGTGTTAAGTTTTAACATTCTCACTGTGATAGTGTATCTCATCTCCTTTATTTAATAATTTCATATCAAGAAGACTAATATTCAAATCTTGAATAGTAAAAAGGTTGTGATTAAAAATTGTCTCCCAAATCCCATTAGAGTTACCAAGCGGAGGTTAACCATATATGATTTTAGTCATATTTTTTTTTATTTTTGTTATTTTAATTTTTAAAAATGTACATTCCCGTAATTTTATTGGACATTTTGATTTACTGTGCAAAAAATGTAAACTCTAAACTAATAACTGTTTATGCTATTATTTTATCAACTCAATAATTTATTTTCTATTGAGTATTGAGTCTTTATAGTAAATAATAATTATACTATTAATTACACATGAAATAAATAGTTTATCTTTAGCTAGGTATTACATTTAGTTAAATTAATAGAATATTTAAAATAGTCTTGAAGAGTAATTTTAACTAACTAATTAATAAATTAATGGTTATATTATTTTAAATTAATTATTAAAATAATTGTTTAAATATTAAAACATAATTTAATTATTTTATTTTTTATTAAAAATATAAATAAATAAATATTTAAAACTAATAAAATACATCAAAAATTTAATTATAGCGAAAACATCGAGTTAGGATAAGTGGTCAATTTAAGAAATTAATTTAACAATTTTATTATTATTTTTAAGAAAATTTATTAGTTTTGGGCACTTATAAACATTATTTATTTATAAAATAATAAAGAATAGGCGAAACCGAAATGAACTCTTTAACCCATCACATCTATCTCATAAATATATATATATAATATGATTTTATGAGGTAAATTTATAGGAGTTTAAAATAAGAAAAAAAAAGTCAAAGAAATTTATTTTTACATAAATTAAAATTCGGTTACGCTAAATTTTTCACTCATTTTAAGTTATAATCCTAATGAAAAATTCTCCAAATTTGATTACCATAAATGCTTAATTTTCAGATTAATTAAAAATTTTAACCAATTGAATGCACGAATGTGTTAAATTTAGTAATTTAATTATAATTTTAATAAAAATAAAAATTAATTTATAATATTATTAAAGTGAATAATAATAAATTTTTATCAAATTTAAAAAATAAGAAAATATAAAATAAATGTAAATAAAAAATTACAAATTCGAAATGGATATAAAAAGGATTTGATTTTTGTACGTAATTGCTATATTTTAAATTTATTTCAAATCAATATTTATATGTGATTAATAAAATTCTAATGTTATTTTTAAATTTATTTAAAATAATTAAAATTGAAGTAGTACACATTTAATAATATAAGTTTATATTAATAATTTTCATTAATTAATACTTGATATTTTTAAGTAAGTCTTGATTATTTACTGTAATATATATATATAAAAGATATTAAAATAAATAAATAAATAAAATAAACAGCAGATAAATTTTTTAATAGTGAAATGGGGAAGGTGGTGGCATTTATGTAAATAAAGTAAATTAGAGGGTCAAAAGTAGGAGAGCGTGGAGGGAAAGCTACCGAAAGTAAAGGGGTAAAGTGGCAGACAAAAATCTATCATTTTGAGAGAGAGAGAGAGAGAGAGAGAGAGGGAGAAAGAAAGAAAGACAAGGCTGCTTTGGATAAGCCTCTGTCACATACTACTATATTATTATTCATTATTTTAATTTTATTCTTTTAATAAATATGTATTTTATTATTATTTTTAATTAAATTATTGGACGCTCCGCGACACTCGATTGTCCACGTGTACAACCTCTTTGCTTTCAAGAACAGAATAGAAGGCACACCACCAAGAACCAATGCCCACCAAACCCATCTCTGAATGAGAGAGAAAGAGAGTGAGGGTTGTAGTTGCTGAGCAAAATTAGGGTTTTTGGGTACTGAAAAATCTTCCTTTTTTTGGGGATCAAACTCCTTGGACTGAGTTTCTTTGGGGTTTCCTTTTCTGGGTTGCAATTTTTTTCTTTTTTTGTTGTTGAAAAAATTTGTTTTTTTTTTTTTTTGTTTTTTTGGAGATGTACATAGGTTCTATGCGAAAGTCATTCAAGGACTCCTTGAAAGTGCTTGAAGCTGATATTCAGCATGCTAATACTCTGTAAGTACTCATGTTTTTCCATCGTCATCTTCTCTGTTTTTCAGATTTTGGGTTTTGATCTTCTGATTGGGAAATGGATATTACTGGAGGAATTTTTAGCTGTACTTGAGAATGGATGTTATAGTTTCTCTCTCAAAGAAAAGAATTTGGATGTTACAGTGTTAAGATTATTATTTTCTCTTCTTTTTGCTTGACTCTGTTTTGATTGATGGATTATTCAAAGTCGGCAACTTTTGTTCTTAGATTATAATTTTGTTTCTGAATTTCCCTTTTTGTCTTGTGGGTGTTGGGGATGTTCTTATTTTGCTTTAATTACGATTAAAAAGAGAGACAAAACTGCTATTTTATAATTTATAGCAATGTCCCTTTAAGAACTTAATTCACAAATAATCTTGAATTATCTGTCAGAATTAAACCTGAAACAATTTTTCTCCCTCAATATCATATTTTCTTTTCTCAAAAAAATTCGCATTCTCAAACAAAGGTTGTTTTCTGGTTGGTATTTAGCTTAATTTTCTTAGTTCCTATCTTTATTTGACTCATTTCTTCATTTTTCTGTCATTATTGAAATGGGTTTAGTTCTCCTTATTCTCTAGCTGCTTTTTGGCTAGATATATTCAAATATACAGCTTAACATGACCCTAGTATGTATCTTCTATATCTGCAAGTTTCTACATTTGGTCTTTTCTTATTATCTTGTAGATTGTGTTAAGTCGACTTCTACAGTTGCTTTCTCGCTATTATCTTCAATTCATACGTTCTAACATGGACCTGAGTCTGGCCCACATTCTATATCACTTACATATATGTGTGTGTGTGTGTGTGTGCATGCATAATTACACTAAGATGTGTTTTGGTAGCTACATTGAGCCTTAGTTTGTGTATGTGCTGTGGTTACAATTTTATAAATTGACCAATGGATTCTCTAATTTGGCTGAAACTTTTCCTAAACTTGGAGTAGTCTGAATGTTGGCTTGACTTGGTAATTCAGTTCTTGCAAATTTTCTCGGCTGACACGGTTACTTTTTGAGAATCTACCTAATTTGCTGTTTTGCTCAAAAGACCATTTTAGTAGGCTTGCTTGTTGTTAATTTGTAAATGGGCATTAAGTTTTATCCCTGCTTCTTTTTAATTGTTATGTGTAATGTGATGTACAGGGCATCTGATTTTCCGAGGGACTATGATGGTGCCTGCCTCCAAATGAGAATGTCATACAGTCCAGCTGCACACTTGTTCCTCTTTTTAGTGCAGTGGACAGACTGCCATCTCGCTGGAGCTCTTGGGCTGTTAAGAATATTAATTTACAAGGTTGAGATGTTGTTTTCTTGGTTTTTACTTTGAGCTTATTGCCTAATCATGGATGTTAGCCATCTTGACTGTGTACATCATGGTGCAGGTTTATGTCGATGGCACAACAACCATGTCTACCCACGAAAGAAAAGCAAGTATTAGAGAGTTCTATGGTAAATGTCTGTCTTGGTATTTCTAAATTTAGTAAATTTTTTATTTCTTAGGATAGCCTTTTCGGTTTGTCATCTTATAGAATCTGAACTCCATTTACTTGGCCAGCCGTTATTTATCCCTCCTTACTGCAACTTCAAAAAGGTGTTACTGATACTGAAGATAAGAAGCAGAAAGCAGTATGCATGGAAAGGTACCGAAGAAGAGATGAAGAGGAGCACAGACTACAGACAGATGCAGATATTGAAAGAGAGGAAGAATGTGGAATATGTATGGAGATGAATAGTAAGATTGTATTGCCGAATTGCAACCATGCCATGTGCCTGAAATGTTACCGTGAATGGTAAGCCCGGAATTCTCACAAACACACACATATTCACGAACACACACAGTCACACACATACATACATTTCGTCCTTCCTGCTATCTCTGTCTCTTCATTTCTGTCCCTATCTCTCTCCTTCCATCCTGCCTGCCAGCTTCATCTCCTGGGTATCAAAATGTAAAAGTCGCTCTGGTGCTTTTGTGTTTTCTGGTTTTGAAGTAGTCTTATATAAAATATCTCAGCGACATGGTCCTGGTCTGAAATTCTCCTGCTTTTATATCTTTTTGATTAATGGAACTTACTAATGAATTAAATGACTCTGCATTGTGAGTTTGCTTATACTGACTTCAGGGTCCAAGTGATCTATGACTTCAGTGTCCAGATGACCTATGAATTTTGGCAGTGAATCGGCAATTTATCTGCAGTTTTTGATGGGGTTCACTTTGAGTTCTGTGTCTCTTTAGCTATATCTGAGCTACCGAACAACCTTTTGAATACTCAATAAATTTTCTTTTTTCTATTTGGCTTTAGTCAACTAGTCTTTTCAATACCCAATAAGACTACCTTGTCTGAAGCGTCAGATACCAATGCACCACAAGAAAAAAAAAAAATACAAAAGCAAGATTTTGTAGATCAAAAGGTGCATTAATGGCAAAAGTTGCAGTTCGAGTTGTAATTTATGAGTCATAAAATGAATTACCACTTTTATAATCAACGAAGAATTGCACTTTGTATATGTGGCTGGTGGTATTTATTGAGTTCCATTTTTTTTTAAATAGGCATTTATTGAGCACGTATAAAATGGAGACTTGAATCTTAAAATTGTCTGAGTCTTTTTCTGCCATTTTCTATTACAAAATGGGGACTTGAATCATTAAAATTTCTGTTCCTGTCTACTTCTTTGTTTATTGTCAGGCATGGCTCTGACTATCTTCATTGATGGATGGGTGATCATATTAAGTGCAATTCGTATAGGAGTACAGTGTTAAATTCTTCTGCTTAGCAGTTAAACGTAGATCCTTCTTCTGTAGATAGCATCAGTCAAAATTATTACTGGATAGCTGTCTTTACGGGCTATTGGCTGTGTACCTGTTATTTATGACTAGAGTTATATCAGCTGCTTCATTACTTGTTAGGTTGGACAATTGTGTCTGACTTGACCTCAAGCTGCTAATTGAACTACTGCTGATATATTATTATGCTCAGATCTTGTACCAAGGAGGATTTTGCACATGGGCACTCACATGCTCCAGGTGATTAGTGGGTAGTAGAAGGGGAATATGTTTCTTTAAATCATTATAGGGTATAATAGATGGTCTAATTTTCACTCAGCCGTCAGAGAGCGTCGGCATTATGTCCACTGATTTCCCCTGGGAAGCAAAGAGACTTTTGCTTACCTTCGACTGGCGTTTCAGTTGCATAAATACTTGTAGTAGCATAGACTGAATCTTCAGCACCCGGCTTCTGCTGTTGTCTTGGTCTTTGGAGAAGTATGTGTGGAGTAACTTCTGGAACCGAGTTCTGGCCAACCATTCATCTTTTCTCTTTGCTTTTGGTACACACAGAATATAAATGACTATGCCTTATGCAGGTGTATAACTAATAATCTATGATCTAGTAGAACATTGGCAGGTGTATATGGTTTCCCATTGGATGATTGTAGTACATGGGAATGCTCTTATGCTGCCCGATCCCTCCCTTTTCTTCTAACCTTTCCTTGTCTTGTTGATCACTAATAATGCACCTTCTTTCTTGTGATTCCAGCATTTATCTCTATACATATGAAACTAAATAATGATTATTAACTTTTTCAGGCGAACAAGATCACAGTCCTGTCCCTTTTGTCGCGACAGTCTTAAAAGAGTGAATTCTGGTGATTTGTGGGTATATACAGACAGCAGGGATGTGGTCGACATGGCAACAGTGACAAGGGAGAATTTCAGAAGGCTGTTCTTGTATGTAGATAAGCTGCCACTGATCGTTCCCGACAACCTTTTTGACCCGTACGATTCCCACTTAAGATAGTTGACACGAACAGACCAAAGATCACTATCTCCTCTGGCCTCTAACAAGTGAATTCCGGTTGCATAAAGACGAGATGTTTTATTCGATGAAACTAGGTTAGTTTGCATTTGCAGTGGTTGCTTCCCACTTCTGATACGAAGAAACCGGCCTAAGTAGTTGCTATGGTCTGGTGGGAGAAGTCGAAATAGTTTGATATTCCAAGAGGTTGATAAAAATTGTATTTAGCACATTTGTACATGCTTTGTATAGCCCTCTCCTATTGTTCCATCACAAAAAGATGTCTTCTAACTCTGTTTGTATCTTGGGTTGTGAACCTCTTTTATCAGAGATGAATCAGTTAGTCTCTGCATCTGGTGTTATCCAGGTCTATATATATAATGGAGAATTTGCATAGGAGTCAGAAATTAGCTTCTCAATATGAAGAGTTTTTTTATGCAGAAAATAAAATGGACAAGAAATTATATGCATTAAATTTGTTTATATTTACTTTATTATGCTACTTCTATTATATGATAAATAATACATTAGGTAATTTTGTTTGTTATTTAATATACTTATATGTTTATGTATAAATTCAAAACACTATTTATTTTATGTTGGTTTTGTTATTCAATAAATATTTTCTTCATAAATCTCAGAAATACAATCACAATATATAGAAATTGATCTCATATACACAAAAATCATGTATTTACCTATTTGTATAACAAATAAAATGTAACACTATGTATGAAATAATGTCGAATTTATATAAAAATTAAATAATTTAATTTTTATTATTCACAACGAGTTATTATCGGCTCACCTAAGCCCATTAAGTTAGCCCAATTAATAACCTCAATCAACTTTATGGGCCGACTTTGAGTTTATACTTATTACTGTCGAAAAAAATTTAAAAATTAATTAAAAAAAATATTACAAATTATTAATAATAAGAATAAATAATTTAAATATTAGTACAGTAATTTTAAAATAATTAAAAGTTGATTCAAGAGTTTAATTTAGGTAATGAATCAAATTCAAGTTCTATATATTATATGCTAAGATAACAAGTTACGTTAAATGATTTTTTTAATAAATATTTTATATTTGAATATAATTTACTCAAACGAATTGAATTAACGATTCAAATTATTGAACTAAAAAAAAATTAATCTATTTATTTTAATATTTATAAATTTATATTTTTACTCGCATGATATCTTAGATAAAAAATTAAATTTTAAAATAGTAAAAAAAGCGTATGTTATAACAATATTAAAAGAAGATACAATTATAATAAACCTAAAAGAAAAAAAGAATAAAAATAATTATTTTATACAAATTGCACGAGTGATATATTCATACAATGAATATATAAAGTATACCGAAAGATCGTTGGAATGTAATAATAATAACAATAATAATAATAATAACAATAATAATGATAACATATGTATAATATTTAATATTGGTAAGGTGTGATGGAAATTAAAAATCATATGCTTATATTTTAAAAGCCAACCTATTTGTACCCAAATCTAAATCTCAAGCCACCAAAAAATGTTGAAATAGGAGGGTCCAAGTGTCTAGTAATTAATTATACATTACTATTAGCTTTTATAATAATCAATTATATATCACTATTTTACTCTAATATTATTTGATAATTAAAATTTTTATACCTTATTTAATAATTATAAATATAAAATTTATTTATTATTTTATAAGTACATTATTAATTAACGATAATTAATTTATAATATTTAATTTAATATCATTAAATACTTAATTTTAGTATGTTATTTTTTAAACTTTATATTATTATATTTAATACATTTTAAAAATAAAGATATTAATTTTTTTTTTAAAAAATATCTATCATTTATTCATGTAGCTAAAATTTTAGCCGTAAAACTAAAACCCATCAATTTTTAGAACAACGTGATCCATTAAAAATTAAATTTCTAAAAATAGAAACATCGTCTAATTTTAGTCACTTTCATGAATTAGCAAATACCTTAAAAAAGATATGATTAAATAATATTGCATCTTAATGCATCGAGTTTAAGTGTGAAATTATAATGTGCAGATATCATTTTTGTAATATTTTCATTTTATGATGGGTGAAATAAAAATTACAAAAATTAATCGATATAAGAGTCAGTTATGGTCCCTTAACCATAAGGTTGTCATTTTATTTTTCTGAAATCCTATCACCAGAAAAAAAACCTAGTTTTAAGGAGCCGTGTTGATTTGAAAAATCCTACCGCCAGACGCGAACAAATCTTCTGCGATGAATTTATATATGCTTACGCTTATATTTCTTTTTGATTCAGTACGATAATGTATGTTTAATTTTACAGATTTACGGATTTGAAAATTTTTTTTATTCTAATAATTGGTATCAGAATAATTTCTCGTATTAAATATAATGGCCCCGAAAATTTAAATGAAGATGTACGTATTAAAAATTTTAAATGCGGAAGCGAAATAAAAATTCTGATTAACATCCCTTACACAATAACCATAAACGTGTTTAACGTATGAAAGAATAAGCTAATTAAAAAAAAATATTCGAAATAAAAACTATAAATAAAATTATAAAAATTTTAAATGCGGAAGCGAAATAAAAATTCTGATTAACATCCCTTACACAATAACCATAAACGTATTTAACGTATGAAA